AACGAGTGGATGCCATGCCCTTCGCTTTCGCCGGAGGATGCGCTTTGCCGGAGGGTTTCGCCGGAGGATGCAATGCGCTGGAGGTTTTCGCCGAGGAAGAGTAAGCCCTAAAGTAAGCCCTAAACTCTCGTAATAATAGTGTGTAGAAAATTAAAATGTGGTTCGGGGAAAGTAAAAAGCAAGACGGGTTCGGGTTAATTATCGAGCCGGGTCGAAAAACAATTAAAATTAATATTTATTTTAATTTTATTTCGTTTAAAAGGTGGGACCGTAGTTTACAGCTGGCGCCATCTTATTGGATACACACCTACCTTAAGGTGCGTAGTACTGATGGAATAATTCTTCAACGAATAAACGTTGAAACCTAATAAATCTAAATGGTTGTTGAAGTCATAGTTGTCTGTGAATCAAATCTTAGGAGTAATTAGATTTTAGCTCTATTCATATAGAACTTAATATAATAATGATACTTTTTTTTTTGGTCTCATTTAGAGAAGATCAATATTGCGGTATCTCTGATAGTTTGGTAGTAATATCTTATTATTTGGTTGTCTCCTCACTCAATCGATTAGGATTAGTTGGCCGAGTTGGCTTAGTCGATTGAGCTCAACCAATTGTGTATGGTCAGTTAACACAATTTGGCTAATTATCTTCAATTCTTGATAAGAAGCCCTTTGCTCTCTGTCGGATGGTCAAAGATTTGCTTCAATTCTCCCATGATATAAAAAATGCATGGAGTCAGCTTCTCTTAGGTTGGCAGCCCTTTCTGCTCATTTCCATGTGAGTGAATTTCATTTGATCTGCTCGGTTATTTTCGTTTAAGCTTTTGGACTTGGCCGACCTAGTAGGCTTCACAAGCTATTAGATAGCTGTAAGATTACTGATAATTTTTTTTTTGTATAAAAATATACGAATAAAATTAAATGATGAATTTAAATTGTAACTTATAATAAGAAACTCTTTTTATTATGTTTTTAAGTTTGGGACGTCATACTTTCTCGTATTCATGTGTCAATTTCTTTTATTACAATTAATTGAATATCTCATATTCAAATTGATGCCAGTACATATAATTATTAATCATTATAAGATTATAATTAATAAGTGTCAGGAGTAACCTCAATAGAGAGAGATTTTAATTGCCGTAACTGCAAATAATGTCTTGGAAGTCGATCAATCCCAAATACACTTTAAACACCAAGCTGGGCAAGCTTGCGAATTGGCCAAAGCACACCAGCTAAGTCGACTCTGTGACATGATAAGGCATAAATACAAGAATTTCTCTCATCGGAAGCAAAGTGTCGACTGCAGCAAAAAGAAGTGAAGGCGGCAGGAATCCGAAAGATTATAAGTTGGAAAGAAGGGGAGAGAGAAAGAGGTGAAAAGAGGGCGAAGGAAAGGGATGGAGGGGGTGGGTAAGTCAGAAGGGCCAAAACAACAGGATTTGGAGACGATGATCGCCTTCTTCGATGTCGAAACAACTGTGCCATTCGGTTCCGGACGCGGCCGCGACGGGTACTCACTCTTGGAGTTTGGGGCCATCTTGGTGTGCCCTCGTCGGCTGATTGAAGTAGACAATTTCTCCACACTCATCCGACCCTCCGACCTCAACGCCATCTCGTCCCTGTCCATCCGCTGCAATGGCATCACCCGTGATTCCGTCTCTACCGCTCCCTGCTTCGTCGATGTCGCCAACAAAGTTTTCTCCTTTCTCCATGGTATTAAAAAATGTTGAATTTTATGAATGAATATAGTGTTTAGCAGCATCCTCTGCTCTCCTCTTCTCTCCTCTCCTCAAGATTGATGGAACGCCATATTAAACACCCGATATTTGACAAAATGCTATTGCTTTCTGTACTGCAAGATGTACTGCAGGCTAGAGAGTCTTTGCTAATTTTTTAATTCGATGGAGATATTAATGAAATAAAAGAAGGGAATAATTTGCATGAGTAGGGTTACAAAATACATGTTTTGTCTCCTATACAAAAGGAGGAAGGATTTGGCACAAAGCCAAAGTTTAAAAGGTGGCATGAAATGTTTTCAAATCTCTTTTTTTGGAGCATTAATTTCTTTCAAGTTGATGTCAGGCAACGCGTCATACTAATCTCAGACAATTCAATTTATTTCATAAAGTAATTGCAATTTTTCGGACAATTTTAATTAAATTTGAATTGATTGCAAAACTTTATTTTGATTGTTACAGGGAAGGTATGGGCGGGTCACAACATCTTGAGGTTTGACTGCCCTCGGATCAGGGAAGCCTTTGCAGAGATAGGCAGGCCCCCCCCTGAGCCCGTTGGAACCATTGATACCTTGCCATTGCTAACTGAGAGATTCGGCAGGAGGGCTGGAGACATGAAGGTGATACCACTGGCATTAGTATTTTTTTTTCTTTTCTCCCTTCATTGCTTAACAAGCTCCCTTTGCTCGCTGTTTTTCATCATTTCTTTTGAACCTCGCATGTATGCTTTTACCATTTCTTACTTGCATGCATAAAGAAAATGTGTTAAGAAAAGCTTTTGGTTGATCAACATGATCTCATCTTCTTTTTTCAGATGGCTACATTGGCTAATTATTTTTGTCTCGGACCACAAAAGCACAGGTGATAATTCCTTCCTCCCTATTTGTAACTTATGCCCGTATCACTTCCTCTCATTCTCAGCTACCCAGAATGGTCACATGACGAAGCACCTTTGGGAATGATATGGTGCAACTTTTATTGCAAAGCCCATTCTATTCCAAATAGATGGCTTGGAAAACTACCCTTTTTTTACATCCTCTATAATGCCAAGACTAGAATACATAATATATTTCGGCAAATTCTTTTAATGTGGTTAACATTTATTAGTTTAAAAATATGTAGAAAAAAAATGCAAATAAACTTGTGAGAGAAGCATAATTTGTGCTTTTAAATGTCAAGATAGATCATTTTTTTATTATTGTGGTGTTTAAATTGTTTGTATATAACAATTAAAAAATGGCTATCAATAATTATCACTTGAAGTCCATATCTTACCTATAAACCTGATGATTAGGTAGTTTTAAGGTAACCCTCATGATGAATAGATAGTGTGGATTCAATTAAAGTTGTATTTGATGATACCTGGAGGTTAAACATGGATGTTATGGATGCCCATGGACCTGCGATGCAGATCATCCCCCAGCTTATTGCAAATATATGGCCTGAATTGGCCATCAACCGCACCCATCCCTGTGATTGAAGGTCTTTCTGCTGAAGTTAGTGGTTGTGGCTGCTATGTATGTATTCATGCCAATTCTTATCCTATTATTGCTAGTTCACATGCACCATAGCTGTTTTTTCAGTGGTTGTGCCATTGGAGTAGGAAAGGAAGCCAATTTCGTCGAAACTTGTCATCCTTTTTATCCCAAATTTTTGTGTATGAATTTTTTTCGTTCATTTCTATTGAGTCATACCGAGTGATGTTTGAGGTATTAAATCTATTATTTTCATATTATTTTGTACAACCATCCATGTCAACTTGGGTCTAACTCCTCTTCTTCCCAATCATATGACATTAATTTTATCTACTTGTCTAATGAACACAATTTCTATCCCCTGATGTACAAGTCAATTATCTTCAATAGATGCTACTCCAACCATTCATCTAATATAATCATTCTTTAAAATTTTAGCATTCTCTATTTTTTTTCATTTAACTTAAATAATAATGACTTTTTTCCTACCCAACAATTTGATCCATCTGATGTTATTGACCTAACTGCAATTTTGTAAAATTTTCTTTTAGGTTCCCATGATATCTTATCACACATGAAGCACTCTTCATTTTAACTATTTTAAATTTAATTCTACAAGTTATATCCTCATTTATATTTTAATTTTTGTATGGATGGATTAAAAGTATATAAACCTATAACACACAGTTTTCATTTCATCTTCCAATGTTGATTGATAAATACTAGTAGCTCACCATTAAAATTGTATATTATTTATTCAATCTTAATTCTACTAATTTTAAATGTTCATATTCAAAATATCTTTTTAATTATTCTAATTTTTTAACTTATTTCAGTCAATATTCTCACTAATTTGAACTATATTTTAGACAAAAAGGATAGACTAAGGGTCCATTTGGGGCAGCTGCAGCTTATTGAATAATCCGCTGATAATGTGATTAAAATTAATCTGCTGATAAGCTAGGTGCGGTGATTATTACAATTTTTTTTTTAGGAAAGCCAAACCGCTGCTAGAAAGCTGCCACCACACCTAGATAGGTGCAGTGTGAAAACGCTGTTTTCAGCGTTTTGAAAACACATAAGCTGTCAAAACGCAGTTTACCCAAACAGGTCATGTGCGCTTTCAAAACGCCACCGCACCAAATAAGCTGCCCCAAACGGATCCTAAGGTAGTTACTTTCAATTTTTTTGTTTCATTTCCATGACTATTAACTAAATGCTAATCCTTGATGTTATTGGGAACCATCTTTGGGCCACTTTACAATTTTTAATATTGGTTGGTACACAATGTGACCAAATCAATTCTTATGATAGCCAAGCATGTCTTATTAAGACCAATACAAATCATATGGAGATCATTCTTTATTCTCTATGTTTTTCTATCAATTGTGTTAACACAAAATTCACTTGCATAATGGATCTTTCTGATAGGAAATAAATTTATTCTTTAAAACTAGCATATAATATTTTCATGTTTTTAGTTCATTTCTTTCTCTCATAACTTTCTTATATGACTCATAAACTTGATTTCTCTATAGTTAACACAATTTTAGCATCAAGTTTTTTCTTAATTATTAATTCCATAATGTTTCCTTTCCAATCATTTGATATTTTCTCACTTTTCAAGGTTTTTTTTTTGAATTTTTTTAATTGAATTAATGTATTATCCCATAAGACTCTCAAAGTCTCAGTAACATATCAATCTGAAGCTTATCTTTATGCATCTTCTTTAGAGCTAACTTTATTATGTATTTTTTAGATTAATATATTATGCTTCACTGTATTGTTAATTATACTATTCAAAAATATTTTTTTTCTTTGCAACTCTTATTTATTAATTCTTTGAAGTGCCATTTTCATAATTTTTTCATGACTTCACATTTAACCAAGATGTAGTTTTTTTTACTTTTATATATCAAGCTCCTTCAACGTCAATAGATCTCTTATCAATTGCTTTAACTATTATATATATTATGTTTCTCCTTTTTTAATATGAAGTCTATTATAACCACTAAAAAATAAAGTTTTTGCTTGCTACATTCTTTTCTAGACTTCTTGCATTTTTACAATCATTACAAGTAATAATAATATTCATTTTTTTCTTTTAAAAGCATAGGTTTTTTTTTTAATAAATTTTTATACTTTTATACTTCACCAGCAAGTCTTTTCATACATTTCTAAGGATAACTCCGTAGTAGTTCATAATATTAATAAGCTCTTAGATGAGAGGAAACATTTTTCGAAATCTGAACTCATATTTGTAACAACGTAGCTCATCTTCTGAAACCATATTCACGTACTTGCTAGGTATTTGAGCTCGGATTATAAAGCTTTCGTCATCAAGATGTAAATCATTAGCATGATCTTCACCTCATTAGATTCTATTATCTAATGATCAATACGCTCTCTAAATGCTTGAGTGCTTTTCCTGTATGGACTCATATTTTTATACTTTTGATATGACCCGATATACAACATAAGTAATATCTTTAAATATTTAACAAATATTTTTCTGAATGTGACTTTTCACAAGTAACACAAATTGGAATCAACTGCTGACCTCCTGACTGACGTTGTTGTTGTAACCTTGGAGTAAATTTTTGTAATTAAATTGACCACTTCTAATTTTTAATGGTCTCTTTTTGATACAGGTCTCTCATTTATTCTTCGCAATCTCCATATCCTGTTCCAAAGTCTGACGTTTTCCATTAACTCAGTAAAATCCTTGATAGGCAGTGGAATCAAAAGGCTGCCTCAATTGATTCTTCAATCTTCTCGAAAATCTATAGCACTTTTAACTTGGAGTACTAATAAGCTATAGAGCTTATTTTGGCAAGGATTTAAATTTTGCCTCATTATTGCCTTTTTTGAGTTAAACTCATAAATCTCTTTTGCATTATCTATCTTGTAGAAGGAGAGACATATCAATCTTTGAAAACTTGCTCCAACCATCCCAAATAATCTGCCTCTCAGGTCTACCCTCAAATTTCTTTAAGTGTTAGCCTCTCCACCAATGTTATGCCTCTCCTTCAAGTATAAATACTGCAAGAAAAATTCTTCTATCATTATGGTATTTCATCCCATTCAAGATTTTCTCAGTCCTGAAAATCCAATTCTTGACATCTTTGACACCATCTCTTTTAAATTAAGGTGGCTTTAAACTTCGAATGAACTTCAAATATTTATTTATATCCACACTAATGTTAGTACTGACACTAGCACTTGAAACTGTAGGTGTGGTGGTGCTGCTGCTTGTGGTATAACAGGTGTTGCAGGTTCTACAAAAGATTGCATCTTTTTCATCATCTGTATCATCATTTTTATCTCTATAATTGCTTCATATTTTCGAGATCTGCTGTCACTGACATATTTTCTGCTATAAGTGTACTATCCTCAAAAGTTTCAATATTTTAAAAACTGTCTAGCTTTGCTGACTGGCCATTAGATTCTTCAGACACTTTTTCATCCATATTATATGCAATTTATTGCACCAAAAAATATATATTTATATATTCATATTAATGCATTTTATATTATATATAATTTGCAATGCAGGGTTTTGGACATGTCTCACCCTCACCTAAATAAACAGCACCCGCCTATGCTTTGTAGTAATCATATCATATTAAATTTATTTTTCTACTAACACTAAATTCAATCAAGCTTTCATTATTGATCCTTAAAATTTAATTTTTCTGATACCACTTTTTATCACGCCTCATGATGACCCCTCTCCACCAGTCTGCTTAGGGCGTAACAGAGATGGGCGTGATTCAGCTGACTAATATACTTTCAAAATCTGTTTGGATATCGTACTCACCAGTATAGAGTGAAAAATGCATTCAATCACTTAAATTCACCCAAAATATTATACATGTTTTACTGATATACTTACACTCAATATATGCAAACATTTCATAGCTCATTCTGAAGGCTAGATCATTAAGTTCAATAAAGCCTAGGTGAAATCCATCATAATCGTTGTTGAACTGCCTTAAGGACTCTTTTGTTCTTATAGGAGATCTTGTTTCATTGGAGATCTTTTTTGTCGCTACTTGCACATGTAATATAAGCATATCACTACCAACTTGCTCTCATAATATAATATTTATTAAGCTCCACATCTTTATAATTAATTGCTTTAATAAATATGTGATTTTTATTCAAATATACTCGATAATTGCATTTATAAATGAATAACTTACAAATATTATATACTTCCTTTTAATAGTATCACCAATTAACAAATATTTATAAAATTAAAATGCACTTGCTAATTTGTATCATCATATTTTTAGATGGTTCTTTACCTATTATAGAGGATGTTGTAAACATGCATTTCACAATATAAAGACTTTACAGTGCATCTCAAACATTCTATATATACAAGTAGACGTGCAAAAATTTAAAAGAATTTATTTTCTATATTAGAATTTAATAAATCTTACTCGCTTTATGATTTACCATGTCGAAAGTAGTTTATCGAAACTTCTTTCTTTTGTAAGCAATCACAAAAGCACCACACGTATAAGTTTGAAGCCCAACAATTCCGAATTGAGATCTATTTATAAAATAATACCCAAAAAATCCAAATGAAATTAAAACTCATTTTCTTACCTTCCCGGCTATCTCTTTCTTTCCTTCATTTCTTTCAATCCCTCTCTGCTTCTTCTCCTCTTCTCCTTTCTCTTCTTTTTCCCTTCCCTGACCTTTTTTCCTCTTCCGGACTGTAACCTACTAGTTCTCAAGTTCGGCTTTCTGGAGTTTCATGGGAAAAGGCTTACGGAATGTGAAAAATAATTTCTGAAATAATTTACTTTACATACATACATTTTTTTTTACATATATACAGTGAAACAATAATTGAATTCTTATTTGCTATTCATTCCTTTTAGGTCTTAAATATATACTTTTATGAAAATCTGTACTGGTATTTTATTGCAACTATTGACTACATGCTAGCTTTATGTTGACCGACCAGGAGCTTGGATGATGTACGATTGAATCTGGAGGTTCTGAAGTACTGTGCTGCAGTGTTGTTCTTGGTAAATAGTTGACATTCTGAGTCATTTATCTCTTTGTCATCTTCTTGTACACATTATTATTGCTATTTTATGATGAAAATTTGCTACGGCCACTTCTGAATGTGGGAATAATGTTACAGTGCTTAAAATTTCTCTACCCTTTTTTTTCCTTAGTATTTTTTTTGTTTCCTTGATGACTGAAGTCCATTTTTTTTATTAGTGAGCCATTTTTTTTATTATTCGATAGCATATGTTGGTTCATGCTAGGAATTATGTTGCTAACAATATATAGTAAATAGCTTACTACTACTATCAATGTTAAGAGTGGTCATTTACTTGATTTATAAGTGCATAGTAATGGCTTATTGCTCTGAGTAGTCAATAATGATTCCTTATTCTTTGAACCACTTTTTTCAACAGATGCAAGATGATACTTAGAGTGAAGTACTATGTACCATATGCCCATCTCTCCCCACCAAAGGAAAATAAATTAAAAAAATGTGTAATCATCTTGAAGTACTCTTACTCAATGTTTTGTTTAGCTAAAAATTCATAATACCCTATCCTTGAAGCTACATTGCTACAATTTTTAACATCACCATAATCACCACCATTATCATTAGCCTTATCCCAATTATTTGAAATCAGCTCTATGAAACTTTGTTTTCCATTCATTCCAACCAAGTACTACTACTTACGATATTAAAAGTATTCTTTACAAATCATTTTGAACAACTTCTATCAATGTTATCTTAGGATTATCTTTATCCTCCTTATCTCCTAATACTACTTTTATGTACTCATCAAATAAGTGTATTTTCTACCTTTCGTTGTGCGTATTCAAATCACCCAAACATCTATTTTCAGTTACCTTATCCTCAATAGATGTCATTCAATTTTTCCTCTAATCAAATGATTTATTAATTTTTCATTCATAGTTTTCTCATACATCTGCCTTGAAATTCACATTTTTTTCATACTCAACTTAGAAACAATTTTTTTTTATCATCCAGATATTTTCCTTTTTAATTCTCCATGATATCGTTTATTAAATAATACTCTTGGTTAACGACCAAAATTTATTTTTCTAATATAATTAAACCTATCACACCAAGGTTCCATTGTGTGTGAAGTTTGACATTAATTACTAGTCATTTAGCCCATAAAAGGAAGGCGAGGGATAAGAGATGGCAAGCCGTAGAAGCTGCAAACATAACAGCAAGAGGGTCGTTAAAGACTATCACAGTGTAGTGGCTTTACTTGAAAAGAAGTAGCAAAGCATAACTGCATAAAAGTAGCAATGGTTGGGTGAAAGAGGGGGCAGAAGCTAATGTGAAAGCTTAGTCGGCTACAATCTGTGCATTGAGTTTTATTGATCAGTAGGTATGTGACCTGGATAATGTTGATGCTAACACCTTCTACTGGCAAGGAAATGGAAAGCACCAAGGAGTTGGGGAGAATCATGGTTGGCCTAATCCTCGTTATTAGTATAATCTCAACTACTTGGGCTGGCATAATAAATCATTTTTCTTTGCCTATTCATGCCAAGTGTTGCTTGAGGTGTTAAAACTATTTTGTGCAAATATTTTGACACTTTGATCCCAGTTACTTTGTTTACTTTTGGCTTATCATTTTTATTTTTAAACTTTGATACTCATTTTGTTTTTATCCGTCTAATGCATCTTTTATCATTCATTATATATCTAAACCCATATTCTACTGTCTTGTATTCAATAAATGTTACTTTTCACCTTCTTCTGATATAATTATGTAACTAGTAATATTAAATCCTAAAAATGTACATCCTAGTTTTACTCGTTATTCTTGTAATCCTATGCACTTTGTTTTCTAATTTTCTTTAGTCCAATTTTCGATTTATTACTTTAGTTACTTTTGATATAAAATTTTCCTTTTTAATCCTTTGACACTAGTTTTTTGTTCTTTTTAATCTGACTTGTTAGTGCATCTTCTGTCATTCTGTTACCTGACGCCGAGCCTGCCAAATAATTTGAACATTTATTTTAGGCATAAAACTAAAAGGGCAATTTAGTCATTTGTTATTTATTATTGTTTAGTATAAAATAGGGCTAATATGTTTAGGGTTAGGGTTATGCAGGAGTTTGTTTTCTTGAGTCTTAGGTTTAGGGTTATGCATGACTTTGTTGTCCCGAGTCTTGGGGTTAGGGTTTGAGTCCTACTTTTGAATTGTAGAATCTGGAAGAGATCGCCTACCTCTCAAATTTTATATGCTTATATTTTATGTATATGAGTGCTGTTTAGAGTCCTTGCAATAAAATATTTTATTTGCGCCAATTTTTGCCAACAAACATATCAAATGGTATAAGAGCAACCGATCTCTGGGAAACAAATAACGATTGACAGGATTGACACTTACAAAGTTTCAGATATGGGATGAGGAATCACAACTTATGATGATGTGATATAATTGCGATTTGAGCTTGATAGGGAGCCAATGGGAAAGTTGCATGCATGTATCCATTGCGTCATCTGATTGAACCCTATGATATAGTTATGAATCGAGGAAGCAGATGGGTCGCAACATTTTGGGGTGTGAACTAATCATGCGACGCTTCTTCTTGACTAGACCACACAAGCCGGCAAGCCAACGACATGATTTCAGGGTATATAAATTTTGCCTTTGTGATTGAAAGTTTTCCCGTGAGTAATGATGTCACGATTCGATTCGTGGCTTGGAATTAACCAAGGCGAAAACAGACGATCGGGTTGGTGAATTAAGTTTTATATATTAACTCACAATTTAATAGATGAAAGAGCCAATACAAATTAAATTAAAACGGTTTAATTTATAATTACTTCGTTGATGGTTGTCCGCATCTTCTATAAATATTTTCTCGTCTATCACTCATTTTTTAATAATTTAATTAAATCTGAAAACTTACTTAGAACAACTGTAAGTTAAAAAACTAGTGAATACTCATACTTCTAAGCTAAAGTAATACAAGGAAAAAAAAAAGAATAATATGCATGATAGTTATGCTTCTTTTTAAATCAATATAAACATTTAAGATGCTATTCGTAGGGATCTATATCATTATTATAAAATATTATTTATATTTATACAATCGTCATAGAAGACATCGTTTAAAATTTTGTGTCGATTAAAACACATCAATATTAATATTCTTTTTCATTTACGTGCACGAGTATATTATTGTTCTTCTATTGATATTATCAATAGATGCTCCATCATAGCCCGTCGTGCACATACAAGCAGTCAACATAAACGTGCGTTCATCACATTCAATCATACTATATAAAACATACACTAAAATGCACGAGTAAATAACTATAACATTTGCAACGATATGACCAATAAAAAAAAGAATAGCTCAATTAGAATAAAATATCCAAAAATATCATTAACTACAAACATATTTGAGAAAAATATATTATTACTATAGTTTAAAATTACAAGTATTCACCTCGATGATGCTTCATTTGTTGTTTGCCTTGACGTTAGTTCTTTTAAAATTAAAAGCCTAAAGCATGATATAAAATTTAACTAACTTATTATTTTTAATAAGCTATTATCTTTTCATTACTTAAGTGTTAAATTTTGCTTTATGTAATCACACTTAATTTCTATTAAAATATATATATATATATATATATGATTATTATTATTGTTATTATTATTAAGCTAATTTAACATAACTTACCTCTGTTATGCCAAACCCGCTCTTCTTCCTCAATGCTTGGCTAGGGTGTGATCGCAACCAGGGAAAACTCCTTCACGTGATAATTGAATCACACACTTGAGAGCTCCTCTTCGACTTCTTTCCTCTTTTCTTCTTCTTCGTACGACGACCTCATCTCTTCTACCCACACGGAAACTCCTCTCTCGTCTTCCTTCACCATAGACAAGCTGCTCAACAAGAAAGGTAAGTCGTTCGACAATTTACAGTGCGAAATGTCACCTCCTTGGCTTTTTGACACTTCTCACTTCTTCTTTCCCTTCATTCATTTACGCGACCCCTTCTTTCCTATTCCTCTTTTCGGTTGCACGAGCGTTCATTCCATCTTTTCCGTCCTTCGATTCCTCTCCCTCCTTGAAATTAAACTGTTACAAATGACGACCAAGAAAGTTGATGTTTTTGAAGTGAAATTAAAGGGAGAGTTTAGGCACATCAAATGCAAAAGAAAAGAATGTTTCTCGGCCATCGAAATGTGATTGTGGTGCATGGAGAGGTTGTTGGAGTGAAGATTCACAGCTTTGAAAGAAATGATGAATAAGATCATGGAGTTTCACAACCTCTGCCCGCAATCGAGCAACGACAACAGAAATATACGCGAGCAACGACAACCATAAGGGTTTACGCAACATTAGGGCAACATCGTTGCATTAGGTAAATCAGGGGGTGCAGTATCGAGCCAAGGATTGGGAGCGGACTTGAACAACAACACTTGGAAGAAATGGTGCAACCTTCGGAAGCTGGTACAAATGAAAGCAGGTAGATCAAGTGAAGGATTTTTGGAGCGAATTCAAGTGGTAACCTCTAGAAGAAATTGTATGACATCTAGAAGCAGAGAAAACGAGATGAAGTGTGATTAGGAGCTGGAGAATATTGCTTTTATGAATTTTGGCCTGGAACAGTGAACCACAGTTGATTTGATCTCGACGGATAGCTGCCTCCTATTGTGCCAGTTTCTTTTGCTATGTCAGTTTTCCCAGCGAAAGGCGATGTAGGAGTAATGATGGGAATACGATAGGTGGAGAAGAGCAGGGGAGTTTGTAAGAGGCTGATTTTGACATTGCAGAGTATTCAAGGTGGATATAAAATGGTGGTACTTTCTGGTAATCCTATTTTTTGCAAGACTTTAGTGAAACTCAGGACCGTGGTGATGGTAATTTAAGATATAGAGCTGAGATTTTTTGTTGAGTTGCATAATATGGAAGAGACAGATGATACAGAGCTGGTAGAGATTTTGGTGACCGATGAGCTACTGGATGAATTGTTTGGGGCTGTAGTATTTTACAATATTGACTTGAAGTTAGGGTATCAACAGATTCAGATGCAGCTGAATTATGTGCACAAGAATGTGTTTCAAACTCAGACAAGTCACTTTGAATTCTTGATTAAATAAAAATGATGCCTAGATTATAACACCATGGGGGAGTCATACGACTTGATGCAATAGCAGTTTTATTTTTTTTCCATCTTGAGAATAAGATGTCTTTCAGAAGGGGAGCATTGTTATGCTGACATTGAGTTTGCCAAATAATTTGAACACTTATTTTGGGCGTAAGACTAAAAGGGCAATTTAGTCATTTGTCATTTATTATTGTTTAGTATAAATAGAGCTAATATATTTAGGGTTAGGGTTATGCAAGGGTTTGTTGTCTTAAGTCTTAGAGTTAGAGTTTATGAGAGATTTTCTACCTCTCGAATTATAAGATTTGGGAGAGATCGCCAAACTCTCAAAATATAGGTGCTTATCTTTTATGTATTTGAGTGTGCTGTTTGAAGTTCTTGCAATAAAATATTTTATTTGTCCTAATTCCAGCTAAGAATCGTATCACATTTTTTATACATCTAAGTCCATACTTTTCTATCCTGTGTTCAATAGATGTTATTTCTCGTCCTTTCTCTAATATAGTGATATAATTAGTAAATATTTTGAACTATGGAAAAAATATTTAGAAAATAAAGTGTATAGCATTATTTAAAAAAAGTGTAATACTAAATATATAGTTTTTGGATTGTTACGCTGACGCTTAGTCCGTCATATAATTTGAACACTTATTTTAAGCATAAGACTAGAAGTGCAATTTACTTACGTGTAATTTTTTTTTTTTTAGTGTGAATAGGGCTAATATGTTTAGGGTTAGAGTTATGCAAGAGTTTGTTGTCTTGACTCTTAGGGTTAGGAATAGGGTTTGGGAGAGATTTCCTACCTCTCAAACTGTGGGATTTGAAGGAGATCGCCCACCTTTTGAATTGTAGACACTTATCTTTTATGTATTTGAGAGTGTTTCGAGTTCTTGCAATAAAATATTTTATTTTCCCTACTTTATGCCAAGAATCATATCACATTCATTATACTCTAAGCCCATATTTTACTATCTTTTGTTCAATAGATGTTATTTCTCATCCTTCCTCTGATATAGTTATAAAATGAGTAATATCAAACCCCAAAAACTATATATTTTAGTATTACACATTTTTTTTATAAATCCCATGCACTTTTTTTTTCTGAATATTTTTTCCATAATTCAAAATGTTTACTTATGCTAATATTGTGTTTTTTTTTTCATATTTTTATTTTGTTTTTGGGGTTGGGGATTTGTGATTTAAGTATTGCTGCTATTTTACAGAATGAGAAGATTTATCAATAGGAATGGAACCCATTTGTCCTAATAAGTTTTAGAAATAAATTGTGTTTAAATTGCCCCACTATATAAATATGATTCAATAGTTCTTGTGCTATGTTTACATTATGTTAAATTAAATGTTAAATGCACCTTCATCCTCACTTGGTGACGTTGACATTAGTATATTAGATTTGGATTGCATGAAATGATGAAATGTTTTGTTTACCTTAACCATATACTGAATCTATATTTCTTTCAGGAATCGAGTGTCTCAAATGGGGTTTCTATCAAAAAGTTGGTATCTGGAGGTATTATTTCGGAAAAGTGTAATATTCAGAATGACACCCCTGTGGGAACAAACCTAAAATTGTGCTCTTTACCTGTCCCTCTCAGCAGCCTGGAAGGTTCGTCTTGCGTTAAAAATGTCAGGAAGGTGAACCATGATCCAGGGCAATCTGATAAACTTGAAAATGAGGATGCAACTTATTTGATATCTCAGGTTGAACAGATGAAAATAGATTCTTCCCACCTCAATTTGGATGACTCTGTAGGAGCAACGTCTGCACCATGCTTAGCAGGAAATTCAGCTGATGCAACCTCTCGTCTTGGCATCATCAAGAATTCCACTTCTTGTGCCGGATTTTTAGAGCCTGAGGAGGTTTTGCTGAATCGCATTACGGTATCCGATACAACTCTTAGTCCAACTGTCAGAAGAATTCAAATTCTTCACCTAAACGTGCCTTTGTGGCTTTGTTGTGGGGGTTTAGTGATTCATTTTGGGATCAGCACAAAATTTACGGACCATGCTGGCAGGCCAAAGTTGAGTATTCTAGTCAATGCTCCTCCAAGTCTTTGCCATGTTCTAATGATCTGCGAATCTCTTGTTCAAAGCTCCTTAAGGAATTATGGTAGCACGTCTGAATGGTGGCCTCTGATGAAAAAGAATGCATTCACAAATTCTGCTACTATCCGGTTGCAGTGAGTTCCCATTTCTTTTACGTGCTGTTTAGATAAATGAGAATGTATCACTCACTATAAAGACTCATGCACGTTTATCATGATAGATGCTCTTGCATAAACATGCCCGCCACCTTTCGCATAGTTACGGTTTGTATATTCATGGCAAAGTCAACTTTTTATTATATAATAAAATAATTTCCTTTTCTTGTTGTTTGATCTGTTAAAAGCTGACTGATTACCTTATCTTTAAAAAATTGTGATTTTTTTTACCTTTTATTTGTTTTCTGCGATTAAGATTCTAAACACTTTGGTCTTTGCCTTGCTGTGTAGCCTACCGAGTCTAACAAATTGGGAGTCTGCTGGCATGTACTCCCCCGAGATATACCGAATCGATGCATCGAAGAACATGAATAAAGTCGCACTCAATAAATTTGATGCTGTTGAGCTTGATTCGTTATTGGCTCCTGGAACAACCATTGATGCTTTTTTCTGTTTGGACGCTTACGATTATCAGCAGAATGCAGGCATCAGGCTAGTGGTCAGATCTCTTATGGTCCATTCCGGGTAGTTAATAGGCATGATGTCTCATTCTGTCATAGGTTTTGTTGTTATTTATTTTTTTCAGTTATTTGTAAGTTTATTGACTATAAAATTCTGCTGCCATTGCTCATTTAATAGAAAAAAATGTAAATAATTCTTCTGGTCAATTTGCCTTGACTGGATGTTGATTTTAGTATCACTTTTGGCTTATGTTCCATGTTGAGATTGCAGAATCATATATTGAAAGTATGGCTCACTAGAAATTTCACTCCAAATATGGTTTTATTTATTCAATGGATTGTGCTACCTTCTCTCATAATTAATTATTCTTTCTGTTGCGAAAGCAGCCAATGGCTTTTGTTTATAATTGCATTTGGCTTGTGCAAGCTGTGATGTCTAATGAGGATAGACTAATTGTGTGCGGCAAAGTGGTTAATTCTAGCTGTAGTATTTAGTTTTGGATAGAATGTCATGAATATGATAGTTTGCAATCAACATATGATAAATTCATAAAAAACAATAATATAGATATAGTATTTTCATAGCTAGGCCAGGGGGAAAGCTTTAGTCCGAAAAGACCTACAATACTAATGTGTTTTGCGGGATTTCGTTAGTGTAATATCATGGATTTTTATTTTTAAAATTTGATTTAGTTGATTCTTTATTTCATAAAAGGACTAAAATAATATCCTACGAATTATAGCAGTAAATTATTTATAAATATTGATATATGATTTTATTCATTTGCCTTTTATTAATATAACATTAACAGCCTAATCAAATTCGTTTCTTTTAACTACAAAAATCTATTACTAAAAAAAGTGTATTTAATATTTTATTGCAAACAATGTAGATTAAAATGGGTTTCTCATTTTTCTTTGATCAAAATTACATCAATTATGATTGATGTAATTGATAGATTTGTCCATGCCAAGTTCCCAAAAATTAATCACAAATTAAAATAGTTTTTTTTTTTGGAATTTCTATAAATAAATAACCATGTAAATCAAGATTCATATAACAAATAAGATTAGTTTTATCATGCTAATTTTGAAACGCATAATAATTGATAGAAACAAATCCACTACTAATTAACTCTTGCATAATGTTTAGAAATAAAAGTACACAGTTTAATAAGTTGAATTCCGCTTGGTTGGTAGGATCCGCAGGTGAGGAGTTCAAATCCTGTCGGTGCCAGAAATATTTATTTACCACTGTCACTAGGTCCCGCGCCCGAATGTGAAAAGTGGAGGGTTGTGTTAGGTAGTCAGCAACAATCATAAAACTTGTCAAAAATATCATGACACGAATCCTTTTGATCATTATGTAAGTGATAGGGCGTCCTCTGAAATCGATGCGCAATATGGCCTGAATACAGTACAAAGAGTGCAAGGGCCGCTATACCGGTGCATGGGTGTAGTGTCAATGTTGACCTCACTTTTGGTTGAGGTCTAGAAACTTCTTTAGTAGCCTAGGTCTA